GAACTTCGAGAGACGAAGCTCTATCTTTGCAACTCACTGCCCAATCGACACATCCCATCGTATGGCACCGACCATCCGAGCCGCCACTTCTAGTTGCGGCGGGCTTCACAAGTATATCCCGAAGGTTTCTACGACCGACTGCCAAATTCTTCCTGCGGCAGTAGCCAGGACACTCCGGTGTCGCTCTGGCGCCCTTGGGTCTCTGCAGTCACTACCCCTCAAATGATGCAGGAGCGTAGGCGCCAATGCTAAATGCGGCCGCAGCCCCTTAGATGCGATCTCGGTTTACCTAGCCGACCACAACAATGTCGGGACCCCAGTAACCCACCGCTTGTTCTTGATATACAAAAGAACGGGCAGTTCAGTACACGCCCCTGTCGAGGGAATTGATCTCGCACGCTCTAATTCGCGTAGCAACGTTGCATCGCTGCGCCACTCCGCGACTCAACGCATGCCACTCCAAAGAAAAACGAAGTGTCCCACTGTTCTACCAACCGTTGGATTACTCTCCTGCACTGCTACTTCACTCATGCCAACTCAATTGCTCTAACACACTTTGTGGAGGCTGCCAGATTCAGTACTACACGCAACGCACAAAACATACAATCTGCCTCTCCACACTGTAGCCTGGTATGGAGAGCACAGAAATGGAAATGCCAGGTTAGCTGTTGGCATGCCAGTTACGTCTAAACACACAAATACATCATATTAAGCACGAAAGTTCATATTAATGCAGCTCAGATATCTGGCCAAGATCGGTCAGCGCAGTGGTCATGCATCGACTGCAATCCGCCGAAGCGGAACCAAACGAGAGGCATATCCCACCTTAGACGCTACCGCTCGAATGGCATACATCATCTTCGCTGCAATAGAAGTATATTATTTGTTGCAGTCTTCAGGATTAAGAAGACTGAAGACCTCCTCCACTTCTCCGGAGCCCCCTCCGCAGCTGCGAGGGGCTGTGGGGTGCGGGGAGAGGGGCATGCAAGTGAACGCAGCAAGCCCCGGTCTTCAGCCCCTAGATACTAGTTATTATGGACAATCGACAATTAATTAGTAGTACTACTAGTAAAAACTTCTTATAAGTAGTACAAGTATGTACGGTTGAGACGAATTCAGAGCACGTGAGGACTAGGCCGTGTTCACCGTACTGGCAAGCGGAATTTGTGGTCTACAACACCAGTGTTCTTCGTGTTTCTCCGTGCAGAAAAATTAAACAACATTATGCCTTCATGTTTTATATTAAAATGAGCGAAAACTATATTGTTGTTTCCCGTGGTACAATGGGGTTGGCAGCCTTACTCACTGAGCATTTTGTTTTGCACCGTTGGGGACTGAAGGTTGTCGCATTCGAGACATTCAAGTAACCCCTAGAATAAGCCCAGAAGTGAAATACTAGTTTGTTTTTTCTCATTTGGTTACATCTGATATAACCTCCTTAGGTCTCCCACGTTTTCATCAAGCACTCAGCGAGATAATGCACACGTGCTACCGCTGTCCGTATTTTCTGGGTGTTAATTGCAGGCTAATCCTTCGTTGCCGTAGACACTTTTCATGAATGGGGTAAAGTAGAAAAATTTAAGGGATTACAGCAAACAACTCAAAAGATTCCACTCTACACGTGCCCTGTTGATTGTAACGCCTGTTCTTTTCCACCCTACTTGGGCTGCCTTTACCCGCCTATTCCCTGCTTTGACTGCCATACTTATTTGTGTTAGCAGACAATGGCCTTATTGCTGTAGTGAGTAGCAAGCCTGAACTGCTACACTAGTCGCCCGATCCTGACGTCGAAATTGAACGAGGCACGCTTCAGGATTCTCATAGTTTTTGCTACGTTAGACCATCAAGTTCCCTTCTAAGCCGCATCTTCTGGGGTGTTGAAAACATCCCGCAGAAGAGTACAGAGTTGCAGCGGTTTGTTCGGTTGTATATTGGACCTCTGCTGCATGCAGCGGTGTTTGACTGGTGGAAACTTGCGCACACGAAGTGTCTGTACAACATTTTCTGGGATTGTGCGTGGCTTGCTATCTGCATCCTCTGCCCTATCCTGTAAGGTGTCTGGAGGCCTGCAACGAACGCGAAGCCCCACCTGTGCTCTGACGACAGAGGATTCGGAGGTGAGCTCTGTTGTCGGTGGTGGCAATGGGTTCCCTCTCAGCTCACCGTTTAGCTGAGGATGTGCGCTTGTGTTTCTGAGCATGGCTTTCCATAATTTCGGCAAAGTGCATCGCCTGCTGCGCACTGATGCCACCCGGAGTCAGACCTGTAATATTGAATCAGGAATAGAACTTAGAATAGGAAACTAAGTTTACCAACCTTTACGGCAGGAATACAGTAGCGGGTTGTACAACTCCAGCAGCCCCAATGGTTCTAGGACTGCAACGGCTGCTTCGTATGACCTATCTTTTTGTACCGTCGCCGAGCGGGACTGCCTCAGCGATGGATATGCGAAGTACTCGCGGGGCATTAAACCCTAACAGCTGTTTGTTCGTTTATATTGTAGAGCATTGCTAAGGTCGCTTGCTCAAAACTATCCGGCGTGTATGCCCCTAACAATGAAACGCCTAAATCTGCATGGACCTGCATGCACTGTGCAGCGCAGTGACCAAGTGTACAGTGCTTCTAGTTCCCCTGCCGGGTTGTTAATTACAAAAGCAACAGTAGCAGGACCAATGACCAAAGCAATGGGCTGCCACAGAAGCAACAGTATGATATCCTCAGCATGTCTCTGCTGTGTGTGAACACTGAACACCCCTACAAACTAATGTGGAAATTAACTGGGCTAGCCCATTTTTTGCCAAGGTACACATGAACACCGAATGGCCTAAGTCAGCAATTCTAGCGGACTGTGCCACGAGAACTGTCACGTTTGCTGGTTGTGCTGCCCTCAAGATGCCAATCTTCCCACGGTAGGCAACGGAATTTGCCGCAGCATTATGTTTGCCCACTAAATGCCAGTAAATTGTTGGAAATATTAAGCCAAAATCAGGCCCTAATACATCTGATTTTCTTTTTGGAAACAATGCTAGCCAGTGGCACAGACACCCTTTCACCTTGCGAGACGAGGTAAGGGGTGGCAGCGTGCGATGCGCAAGGAAGTGGTTTGCTCGTCGGAAAGATGTCTGCAGCAAGGTGTTCCCGCCGATATCCTCGAGGCCAGCAAGAAACACGTCTACCTTAACTCGTATGTAAGAGGCGTATTCTCTAGTGACTGTGACTAACAGTAGACAGTATTCCAGACTGGCTGAATATCGCCAAGGACGTTGACTGTGAGGATCTGCTAAGTAAAATCTTCCGAAAGAGCCTGCAAAAAGAGAAGACCCGCAACGGATTTCACGATGGACCATTCAAGAGACCTGTCCAATGCTTGCAAAAGTAAGAAAGGGGAAGCTCTGCCAACTCATGGGAAACGTCCTCCACCAATCACAAATTTGGTATGCATGGTACCAGCACCAACCGTGCAAATACTGCAGAGTTGCTACTCCTCCACAGTAGCAGACCAGGTCGGACACCCTTTTCCTGCTGGAAGGGTAGGCGTGCGGAGGCGTGTGCTGCTTGAGGCAAATCGGTGGGCAAATGTAGTTGGCTGTATGTACGAGTGGTACGAGTACCTTCGCCATCTATTTATACGCAAACTGAGTGGCAAGGTCATACGCAATGTATTAGTGTGATTTCATGCATTAAATGGTTCTTAGGTATGAATGCATGCAAGGTTACTTTGCATGAGGAGTTGCAGGAAGATGCACTGCAACAGAAGACAGGCCGGCACTTCTCTGCTCAGACTTGAGTGCTTGCGCTGCTTGTATCAGGGTGAGTAGAGACTGGAGCGGGTCTCAGCTGTTTTTGCGAACTCTTGCCAATTACCTTTACTCTTCTGCAGCTAACAGCGGCCCCCAGCAACGATCGAAGCGTGTCGTTTCGACGGTGGAGGATTCTCGTTAGCTAGCCCGCATATTTCATTAATTTTGCTGCAAATCGACATAATAACTTTCAGTATGTGATAACTAGACGTACAACTCAATTCCCGACATATGCAGGGTTGCTATAGAATTGGCACTCCTTGCTTCGTTGGCGGCAAAGGGAACAAAACACAACGAAACGGGCGAAGCCGACCTATAGCGTGAACTTAGCGCTGCACGTCGTGAGGGCACGCTGGAAACGCAGCTGAGATATTAAAACCCCCCAAGTGCTGGTCAAAAACTCAAGCGCAAGCACGGTCCAATTCTTTAGTCGCCAGCGTGGGCAGTCTACTCCAGTATGCACACGGGCTTATCCAGCCCCAAAAATTGCCACCGGTGTCTTGTTAGTTCTGGGCACACTCCATATGCTATGTACTAACGTCATTGAGCGCGTTTCTACCTTAACTTAATTTTACATTACTATTCTACACTTTTGCTCAGAGTTCCTGACCTTCTGTGGTGCTCGGCACTACCCCTGCTCGCATCAAGCTGCTGCAGTCAGCAAGCCCGGAGCCCCTAGAGGAGACTTTGAAAGCGAACAAACGGTATATAACCTCGTGAAATGCTCTATTATTATCTCCGGTCAATTATACAAGTACTGTATTGGGACAGTAGCTGTTTCGGGCTCAACCCCTGTACTAACCAGCATCTTCTTGGAGGGGCGCACGCTAAGCGCTCATCTGCTTGGAGGGGCGCGCGCTAGACGCTTATAGGCGCCCCAGGGCACAACTGGAAAGGATTCTTTTTGCTACCTGCTCAATTCTGGGTCATATTTCGCGGCTCATTCATTCTTGCTGGCAGTGGGGACACCACTGTGACCCGAATGCACCCCGGTGTGGCTGGCATTGCTGGGTGTTGGCTTTGGATCTGTCCCCTTAAACTCCTTTGCCCGGGGGGCGTCGCTTCCAACAACAGTTTGGCTTGCGTTTCGCCATCGCATGGAGTGCTTTCAAAGAAGCAGCTGCAGGGGCCCCCAGCAGCCCCAGCGGGATCCACATAAGCAACTCGATCCCACGCTCGCTGCCTCTGCTGCTTCACAGGATGGCTCAGGACGCAGGGAAGAAATCCCCACTTGATGAGTTGGGGACACCTCGGGGCCACAAAGGCTTGGATCCCGAACAGAATGAGGGTCTCTCTCCCTTAAACATGAGAGGCATCAGGCAGATGCCCTTCGAGGCGGCTACACCTGGGGAGGCTGAGGGGGCCGGATATCTGCTGCAACGGCAATCAGAGCATGTACGAAAGGCGTTTGGGCAACAGAACGTACCTGGGGACTGCTGCTTTGACAGTATGGGCTCCGGGGAGGAGGTCCCTGCCTGTTGCCAGGAGAATGGCCAACCGCTGGAAGGCGAGACAAGACCACGGAACCGTGATTTCGCTCTCAGAGAATCTGCCCATTCAGCTGACTGCGGCGGCAAAGAATCCCGCAGCGGCAGCAGCAGCAGCGGAGGCGTGCCATGCGTACTTAGTCCAGCTCCAGAGCGTCCCGTCTTCTGTAGCGTTGGTCTCCACAGCCTGACACCCACGAAGCCGGCCTCGCGAAAACGCGCATCGCCGGTACAACGCCCTCGACAGCAACAACGACAGCAGCAACGACCGCAGAAAGAGCAGCGTACGCAACAGTTGAGAGACGCCGCTGTGGGCGATCCCCAACGCGAGGGAGAGGAAGCACGCAATGGTTTTCGATGCACAGCTTGTGGGACTCTGAAGGTACGGGCGCCCGTAGGGTTTACGTTAATGCAAAATCCGTCGCCTTCGTGGGGTCAGCTTCGCATGGGAACATGTGCAGAGGCACCTCAGGCAGAATCGGCAGCATCTCCAGGCGCCAGTGTCCCTCATGGCACCCCACGAACAAATCGGAGGCAAGTGAATTCTGAGGGCTGCGCATGGACGTTGCCTGTCGGGGGCCCCAAGGGGGGTGGGCCTTATCATCTGCTGAGACAGCAACAACAGCAGCCGAAGCAGGGAGAATTTGTCGCAGGCAGCTTACAGTGGGGTCAACCCACGTCGTTTTGGCTCGTGGAATCGGTGAGGGACGAGGGGGTGGAGAGAGAATTTCGGCGCCTCTTCAGGATCAATTCGCCAGTAAGCAATTTGGGGGGAATGTGCAACGGTCATGGCGTGTCCACTTTTGCTGCAGGCTATAGATCTGCGTGAAGGTACTATACGTGAGCTCCGTTTTTGTGGGCTTAAGCACTTGCCGTTTAATGGCCGGATGTAGGAACCCTCGGTCGGCGCGCGTCAGTGCAGGTTCACCTGCAACGGTGCATTGCGGCTCTGGGTTTTTGTCTGTCTCCTCTTTAGGATTCCCGCATCGCCTTGTCGTCCTTTCGACTCCTAGTGACATTAATGGTGGTACTGGCGGCGATTAAATATGGGGTTAGCACGTACTTCCCCCCCGCCATGAAGGTGCGTGTGTCTGAACGAATACAGGCCAAACACATCTGTTTCCCGGCAGTTTTCCATCTTAGTGATGCGTCTATTTTCCGAACACCTTTTATACTGCTCGAATATGCACTGGTATTCGTTCCCATTTACGCGCAGATACCCTTTATCTGCTTCTTTTGCGCCGACGTCGTCATCTGGGTTTTCTTTGCCTGTGAGGCTGCTCTACGCGCCCGAGCTATGGGGCTGAAGCGTTTTTTCCGAGACCGGCAGTTTCTGTTTGACACCTTCTTGCAGTTGGTGGGACTCTCTGCTATCTCCCTCCGCACCTGTATCCTTTTGGACGTCGGCGGCCTGGGAACCCGCGTGTTCGACCCGGATTCGCTGGAATGGAAAACGGGCATTGCGAATGATTTCATCATCGGAGATGTGAAAATCGCACTTGTGGTGGGTTCAGTGAATGTGTCACCGAGAAGAACCGTACACTTAATAGTCATTTGGCTCAGGTTGCACATACTGTGAAGTCGAGCGAGGATTGTAACCATGTTGCAGGTTGCGGTGGCAACATTTGAAGGCCGGTGGGCTTGTGCCTCGCGAGCACAGACCACAGGGGCCCTTTTGCTATTTTCTGTTGTGCCCTGCAGGCCTTGGACACGGTGCAGCTTGCGCGTATTTATCGTCTGTCGTTCTCATGCAGAGAACTTTTCTTCCTGACGAGGAGTCGGCCCTCACTTAGCTTGAGTCCCCTTTTGTTCGAACCAGGCATATATGCTTGCGTTGTGTGCGCTCCTTATGTCTGAAATATTATTTGTAATGTCCTTTTCAGGCATTCTTCACAGCCTCCGTTCCTTGCTGTGGACTGCCTTGTTTGTTTTGGTTGTCATCTACACTTGCGCAGTCTTCTGTACCTGGGCGTATTATGTACGTCACTATTTCTAACGGGGTTAACCTGTGTAGGAGTTGCAGCTGATATTTGCTTGAGACAACTAAGCAATGAATCGAGCCACCGAAAGTGGAACGAGTGGGCAACGAAGGCGGCTTGCGCACGCAATGAAATGCCTGGAACTACATGCACGCAACCCGTTTTTTTTTCTGGTTCTCATTGTTTCAGGATGAAGACGACGCGGAGATGCGGCTTCTGTGGGGGAATTTAGTGCTCTCCATGTTCACGCTTTTCACTGTGCTCACGCTTGAAGGTGAGCCTTCATCTCGAGGGAGGGTTGTGTTGTCGCTGATACTTGCAGCAGACATGCTGTTCCAGCGGATCGTTCGCTGTCCGCCGTCTTGCTCTGAGTAACCGAAGAGATGTGTTGATTTGTTGAGTGTTTGCAGGCTGGAACAATGTGGCCACAGCGACTGCAGAGAAGCACCCTTTTAGTCGGATCTTCTTCGTGGCGTATATTTGCTTCACAACGTTGACTCTTTTGAACATCGTCACAGGTGATTTGCTAAAGCCTTTATCTGGCGTGTTTCACATTGCACGTTGACAGGATTGTACTTGTGTTTCTCGCTTTAACAGTGGTTAGACTTTTCGATCTTAGAATTGATTGTTGATGACGTGGGCCTCTGTGGGCCTTCTGTGTTTTCTAGGCATTATCCTAGACGCATATGTAGACATGTCCAACAGACTTCTTATGGAGGCAAACTACAAGGACGACTTGGAAAAAGACATTCACAATGAGAAAGTCCTACTGTCCGCTTTTGAAAAGACGCCATTCCTCGTTTGCATGAGGCCTGCAGTCTCGACATTTTTGGCTGAAGGTAGCGCCTTCACCGCCGCGAATTTGGATCACACTACGAGTGGTTGGGCGGGCGGGGATTCGGGGCATGAGTGTACTATACCGACACTTCTAAGAGAGGGCGAAACTGCGACAACTTGGCGTCACGCTCTTGCTAGCAGCAGCATGGCCACACAGGCGGCGGCGTCTGCCTCTCAGAGCCCCAGAGCACCTATGTGTGCAGCAGGAACTCATTTCGAGAGGAAGCTAACGGGGGTTGCCAGCGAAGACAGCACAGCTCGACCATCAACAGAAAGTGCGGCGGACTCTGAACCCCTTCAGATCAGGACGCACCTGCCGGACACGGTTCAGTTGGATGGGATCAACGTCCGCACGTGCGTTAGATACCTGCGCATTGGAGGTCACCAGCCCATGGACATTCTTCGTGACCCAATTATCCAGGATGCATTGCAGGTAAGAAAACAACTTCCGACACTCCGCAGCAATTCCAACAAGTGCATGAATACTCTGCATGCAGAAACGAGACCATATTCTAGATAACAGATTTATAGGGCTGCTTTGCGAAACTTGGTGAGGTGAACCGCAGCTGCGTGTTGTCTTGTGAGCACGCAGGCGGCGCATATACCCTTCTACCAGGCGTTTGACGTTCTTAGCATGTTCCATCAGCGCGGCATACAATTTGTCACTGGTACGACTCTGTGAATCTGGCGATATCCTCTCTGTTCATTACTTGTGTAGGCCTTGGTTTCATGCAGTTGCTTTCCCGAGCGCACTGTGGGGCTTGTGTTTGTTTTGCAGTGAAGGAATTTGCTGAAGCATGCAGCCGTGTCGTCGGTTCGGCAACAGGACGGCAGCTACTTCAGGTGCAGCTGGAGCTTCAGCAAAAGCTTTGCGGTCTTGAGCAGTGCATTCGGTCGTTGTCTCGCCAGAAACAGTTTAAGAACAATTACAGCACAACGTCAAAGCTCGACTTGTCGTGAGGAAGTACATCAATTAAGAGGGGCAGCCGTTCCATTATTTTGTAAAGTTAACCGCAGTAGCAGGAGGCTGGACATTCCAAATAGTTTTATGAGAGGGTGGTCACGTGTGCAGCGTCCTCGCGGTTGTTATTTCTATTAAGTTGGCGGGTGTGTAACGTGCAACTGCACAGGGCGGGGAAAGCGGGCTCTCTGCAGGTGAAACGGGAACTCCCCTTGGTGGAGCCTGGTGGCAATCTCACCTTTATTCCCTACTTGTCGCAGTCGCGAGGGCTTTGGCGGGTACTGGTGACTTCAGCTATCCAACGGAGCCCAAGGCGCAGGAGGTCGCAGTGTTTGTTGCTACTTCTGTAACTGCACATATTATCGTTGTGTAGCCCAGCTCTGGCGACGGCTAGCAAGTCGCGTTTCCCGCTTACAGAGTGCAGGCATCTGCGGAACATTAATTCATACAAAACGTTTGTGTACCTATATGCATCAATAAACCTGAAGATGTCTTTTTATTGACGGGTACGTCGAAGTGTTTGCTTCTTCCAACACTCCAGCAAATTCTGGGGTAGCTGGGCGGGGTGACCAGTTGTTTCCAAGACTTCCACTTCTTGTGTAGGGCATCAACATAGAAAAGTGCGACAGACCTCTCAGACTTCGGAGTGCAGTCCCAGCTAAGATACTCTCCTTCACTGGATCCGCAAGTGTCCTCGCTTCGAGAACAGCAGAAAAAGCGCCACCAACTGGCTTTTGCGCACATCAGAGGATGATTTTGGTTTTTCACAAGAGGAGATTTGCGGTGCAGAACACGTGCCGAAGGGCCGTACAATTCGCGTGGAAGGGCACAAAGCTTCATCTGCGGCTGTAGTGGCAATGGGCATCGTCGTGTTGGGGGCATGTTCATTGCCCCTGCCCCACGTGCAAATAGTACAGTTTTGCGCTCTACTGGAGCCCTTTGCAGGCGTATTTTCTAGCAGTGCGATCTCAGCGTGCATCTGCGGTGAATTAGTAGCATAGGGTACAGAGCTGAATTTCACACCTCCGGATATTTTAGCAGCTCTCATCACGTGAGGCACGATACGTGAGTCTTTACCCTATGTGGCGATGGACACTCCACAGCGTTAAAGCAGATATGCTGAGCGAAGCACATTCGTTAGCTGGAAGCTGACTTTAGCTGGCTTTATGCTTGACCCAGTTCCGGTTCCCCCTTTCTGTGACCGTGGTTGTGCTGAGTTATAATATGACGTCTAACGTTGGAAAATGATTTCTCATATACCTATCACGCACAGTTACACAGAACGGCTACTGAAGCTTAAGTAACGTCGGGTAGATCTTCTGTGCGCAGCTCGGTAGCTTCCACCCTGCAGCCGCCTTGAAGTTTTTGGGGACAAGCAGAACCACAACTCATTGGTCACTGTGCTGGCCTTGGCTTGCTGCCGGTCAAACGGGTAGATGGTGAAATGGAAGCAAAGCGACCAAGCCTCTTACCAGCAAACATATCCCAGGCGCACAACAGGGCGTGTGTCAGTGGAGGTCGCATACTTTACGGACACGGATGTTTCTGAATAATCGACGGGTTTCAGATCGTCGCGCCGAGGTTTTTTGCAGTTCTGGCCAGCCAAGTCCACTGTAATGCTCGCGTTGCATTCTTAGCATGCATGACCAGTCCATAATATCTGCAGTGCGCGCAAGCTCAGCGGAGGCATGTGAGTGCAGACGCACGGCGCGACGTTAAGACAATTGAACACTAGGCGTCCACATAAGTGTAGGCCGTATTTCTAGAGTGAAGGGTCGAGGGAGAAAACAGTGCAAGCATTAAACCGAGTTTGGATGGACCAAAGACCAGAAGGCCTAGCTCGCTTTCTTCGTATTCTGCATCAAATGCAAGAATCTTGACAGCCTGCCATGAAGCATGCCAGTTGACCCTTACGCGACTAATCGATTTTCTGGTCCGCTGCCGTTTGCTTGCGGTCTAATTACAATACCTTGGAAGCGCCAAGACTTTGCTTTTCCTGTATGCTTTCCGTTGTGTCCATACTTACCTCCAGCATGGGGAATTTTCACGTTATATTGCGCTTTAAAATGTGTACTATTGCAGGTGAAAGGTCCACATAATGAATGCTATTCAGGTGCCGGTACGAGGGCACTCCTATCTTGCATTTATGATAAGGTTTCTAAATGTTCCACAGGAAAGCACTACCGCACAAGCTGCTCGGTAGATTGCTTCTTCAAGGAAGAAATGCCTGGGCACTGCTTGTGCGGCGGCTGTTAACTTATGGGTTTATGACAACAGAAAATCTTTGGCAAGGATACAAAAACAGCAGTTTTCTTCCAAAGCCAGCGCCGCTCATCATGCTACTGGCGATCTTAATTCTGAGCGGCATTCAACCTCATTTGTTCGCAAATGTTTCAATCTAGTGGCAAGCTAACAACTCACCCGAATGCACAGCTAGGACTCCGCTGCACGCCCGTTATCGCCTCCACGCAAAATACAGCGGCAGTTTGGATTAACAGGCACTGAATGCCTAGGTTTAGTTCGTAAGGGCAGTATCTAACGCCAAACAGAGGTTGAGTAGCGGTTCAATAATGAATACCCGTTACAGAATAACCCAGCAGTTGCCATCCTAAACTGCGAGGTAAAATTGAATCCACCATGTTCACATGTATCTTGCATATCATCGGCAAGCGTGGCTGTACTCCGCAGGGAAGGCGCTGCCTCCTACCTGGTTAGAGCCATATATTCATACACCACTACATCAACGACAAGACTTTACGGGCTTCCGTACCCCAGCGTAGATGCGCAGTGCTGTGCTCTTGATTTGCAAAACCCTCAGCATTGCTTCCCCAAGTCCACTTAGATCTTAGGAGTGGGCATTGCGTGCGCTAGTCCAGCTGCAGCAGGACTTGGACAAATTCTGCCAACGAATTGCTTGAGCTGCAGTTGCAAATTAATAGGTTGGCATTTGAAGGCTTTATTGTCTAAGTTGAACGCTTGGCTAGGGGGCCATTTCTGCAGGCTGCGACTCCTTTAGCGCAATGCGCCACCCATATAGCTCGATGCGAAGGTGTTGGACTGAGTTGTATTGAGCACAACGTGTATATCTAGACGCAGCAGCGCCACCGAGCGTCGGTAATCAAGTTATTGTTTTCTTGTCACTCTTCTGTTGCTTTTCTGACCTCATCACGTGTCTGATTCAGCGCAT